CTCACTTGAAAAAGAAAAGGAAAAAAAAGATTGAAAAAATCCTAAATATAAAAAAAATATATATATATTTGAATGTGAGGAGAAGCTTGAGGGGATGCTTAATAAAAAATTGGCTTCACTTGAATCAACTTGAGGAAAAGGCTTTATTACATTTTCTAAACTTGTATTTGAGTATTAGCACCCTTAATAGTAAAGTTTTCAGGAAATTCTTTTTCATATGGATATTTTAAGTATCATTGATATAACAAATTACAGTTTTTCTTGAAATGAATGGTGATTCATAAATCTTAGATTTGATTACTAAGAATTGAAATACTTATAGTTTTAATCTAAGTTATTAAAAGTTTTTCTTAAATTATACTATTTTATTTATTAAACTAAAGTATAGAATTTTATAAGTTAATTTCTATCCTAATTCATATTTTATTCTTAAATTATACCATTTTATTTATTAAACTAAAGTATAGAATTTTATAAGTTAATTTCTATCCTAATTCATATTTTTATATCGTAAAAGAGTCACTTGAGGACAAGTAACATTTAAGTTTGTGGGATTTTGATACACCAAAATAATGTGTTATTTTAAGCATATATTTTATGCTTATTTTCTGTGATATTGCACTTTAAATAATGATATGTTCATGTTTTTATTGCAGATATATCAATTTTAGGCATTTGGAGCAAAAGTAGCAAAAAGGAGGAAATTTGGAGCTAAAATAGAGAACTTTGTGATTCTGACACCTGAGGCGCCAGAACTGGCACCAGAGGTGCCAACTTACAGAGAGCTGATGCCTGACGCACCAAAACTGGCACCATAGGTGCCATTAGACAGAGAAGCGGCGCCTGAAGCACCAGAATTAACGCCTAAAGCGCGAGAACCTAGAACAACACGAACTTAAGTAACTTGGCGCATGAGGCACCAGAAGCGCCAGAGAAGGTATTTGATAGATTAAGGCGGTTCGGGATGAATTTTTAGCGAATTTTGAAGGTTTCAAATGTTTCAAACGCCCCATGGAGTGATTCAATGTGTCTAGACACTTTGGAAGGCTCTTTAATGATTGTATATGTCTCTTGAATGAATGGACATGTTTTTTGGGATTCAAAAGGTGTGACTTTTGGAGAGAATTTGGGCAGGAATTTTGAATTCTTTTTAAGAGGAAACAACCCCTAATTAAAAAGCGAGGGAGTCCAGGGTTGTAAGAGAGGCGAGAGAGAGAGTTTTGGTGGTGGCGTGAGAGAGAAGAGTGAGGGACTTGGAGATTTTCTTCTAAAGGTTGTAAGAGGATAGGGAAAGTGAGATATTTCTTCTTCATTACATTTATAAGAGAGAGTTAAGAGTGCCTGTAAAGAGGGAAAGTTCTTAAAGGTAAGTTATAGGGATTTTCTTGGGAAGGAGTGTGTGATAAGTTATATCTTTTATTTCTATATTTTATAAACTTGTTTTTATAAATGAAATTGATGTTTTGTTGTTTCTTTGTCATGAATTTTGAGTAGTCTTCTCTATCATTCTCCTTACTCTGAGATATGGTTTTGTGAAGAATTGATTTTGTTTTATAAGGTTCTAAATTTCAATAATTTGTGATGATTCAAACTTCATCTTCATTTACTTTTCGATCTGACAAATTAAATTGTTAAAATGTGTTAAGAAACATATGATCCGAAAGGGTTATAATTTCTATAACATGGTGAGAGTCACATTTAATTTTATGGGTGAGAATGTAATCCATGAGGTTGAGTGCAAATAAATAGGAAAATATACTTTGTTTGACGCACAATTGGAGATTTTAAGGTGACAGATTAAAATCCCCAATTTGGCCCAGTTGATTGGAAACTAATGCGAGATTGTTAGCCCTTAGACGAGGGAGAAGTGGGAGCTCTGGAGTGAGAGCCAGTATCCTCCCAACCTAACCACGGAATTAGAGACTAAACTCTGGATTAGTCTATGTTCTTTATACACTTGAAAGAGGGTACATAATAAGATTGCTCTAGATTATCAAACCTCAAATATTCTTAACTGTGAAAGTAGTAGAACCAACAGAACAAAGAACCTTATCATCAATCCATGAATTGTATTGTCTAAGGAGATTCATAGACTAAAAGCTAAGGAAGGAAAATTAAATCAAAATTTATGACTGAATTTTATAAATGAGACAATAATAGGGCACACCTCTCTCAAAATGTAAAAATATGCTTATGAAAAGAATATGTGTGTGTCTGTGTGCACTGGAGAGGTGGTCGGGGGGGGGGGGGGGGGGGGGGAAGTATAATTTGGTCATTAAAACAAACTACTTAACACAAACTTATGATCTTTTCTAAGTTAGACAGTCATTAAAAGACCCATTGTGCTATGTGCCACAACTTAAGTGAACATGAATCTTGTTTCCAAATAGGTAGAAAAGAATCAAGTATGTTTTGCATTTAAAGGGCATTCAATGATATAATATACTCTATCCTTAATATGGAAGCATTATTAATACTTGTGTTTATGCCACATCACGCATGTGAGCTAGCCTTGGTTCAATTCTAGGCAAGGGAATTCACCCTTATGATGAGCATAGGAGGCACACACTTGACCTAGGAATTCAAAGTTGCAAGGGAAAACTCCAAAAATTCATTTACTTAAAAAAGTAGTCATAGGCCATGCAAAATTAAGTAACATTTTATGAAAAAAATGATTTTTACCTAACTTTTATTTTAAAATTGGCACCAAATTGTTATGTTTTGTAAACAAATTTAATTTATCATAAAAGTCTAATGTATAAGTGTTTTCTAAACAAACATAATAATGAATAAAACAGGTAAAAACATCGCTCATATAATGAAAAAATAAGTAATAAATAAATAAATAAATAAATTTGTTAATACATTAATAAATAACAAAAAGCTAGTATTTTTAATATACTCTTGTAAAAAAATGAGATAGTCAGACTTCACATATACAATATGATCTTAAATCTATACAAAAATATGCACTTAAACCTTAGGTCTGAGATATGAACTACAACAACTTATCTCGCCTTCACATGATTGTGGTTCACACACTCTGTAGTTCTCTTACTCATATCTTAGTTTCTATACAAACTCTATCTTGTCTCTAAAAACTACATCATAAAAACTAAAATTTATAGACAAAAAACCTTAAAAATGGATACCAACATTCACAATATAGTAAAGCATATAAAGCATAGGTAAGAATAGAAAGCACTTATAGAAAATGCATTTCATTTTAGTTATTTATATCCCCTCCACTGTGGACTTGAATCCTATACAAGATATGTATATATTCCTAATTTAGCGCACACACAACATACCTAATAAATAAGGAAAAAAGTAATCATAAAATGTGTGGCTAGCACAAACAAAAATATTATAATGGCAAAAAAAAATCATAATTATACCCTTACCTAGACTAAATAAATATTTACGTGTTTTTATTATCACATTTATTGTCCTAGTCAGTGTAAGTAATATCCATATAATCTTAAGAAGACTATTAAGTCTAGTTTTATCAAGAAGATACAATAAGACTAAGAAGTGCCATACTAATCTAATATTTTTTTAACATATATGTATAAATAAATTTTCTTAAAATAAAATTAATTTTTACAAAAAATATTTGATCTTATATATGCTCTCAAATATTTAGAAAGACATATCATATATTATTTGTCTTCTAAGGAAAATCATGTGGGATTTGATTATAATATAGAGATTTTTTTTATCCAATGGTTATACTAACAATAATGACGATTTACATACCATAATCATAATCATATTATAAATTTATAGAGATACAACTAGAGAGGTGCTAACACTTATAACTGAGATTTACAACCAAATGAGATAATGATATAAAGGGACTACCTAAGAAAATATGGTTAATTATATGATTGATACGCTACCAACAAAATTCCAACATCCGACACAAATATTGAAGCATGCCACACTCTTGAAGCAACCTTTTGGGCAAGAAATGCTCAAAATTTGATTAAAAGTCATACAATGCTTCAATTTCAGCAAACTAATACACAGACTGATCGCCTCGATGAGAGGACAAAATAATACTAATATTGATTCAATTTGAACAAAATCAAGCTCTAATCAAGCCACTAAATCATGTTTGAAAGTTTTCCAGACACATTTGGAAGGTCAAATAAACGTTGAATCTAACGAGTTCATAATTAAATCGAGCGTCTCAACAAGATAAATCCAGTGAGCTTAAGATCACACTCAATTCTGACATCATTAAGACACTTAAATGTCCATCAAATGCCGTATGATCGAAGAAATCTTCAAGTCATCTGATCAAGGTGGTTCATACTTCATTAATTGCAACCAGAACATCATAAATAGAGCCTCACCCCACTCATGAGAAAGGGGAAAAGCTTCAGGTCTGAAGAAGAACTTGAAGCTTAGAAGAGTTGAAGTCCAACATTAGCTTGTCGCCGATTGCCGCAGACCACCAGTCACCGACCATCTCTCGCCGGTCGCCGCCGTTCACTATGGGTCGTTCGCCCACTTCTTACAATAAGTTTATTCGTGCACTGACATTGTTACTTCGCCGAGTGTTCAACCCTTTCTCACATGTGGGACGAGGGACTGCATATGTAATATCTAGTTTATAATGTATTTCTTCATAGGCCTCGTAATTTTTTCACTTACTAGATTGAATTTTTCACGTAAAATTTTTTAATATTTCTACTGATTATTTATTTTATCTAAATATGCGTTGAATTTTCGCAATGCTAAAATTATAATCCGTTAATTTAGTTTTGGGAATTTTCTAGCACACATCTATGATAAAAATGAAGGGATATGTTTTATCAGTGCGACGGAGTATAGTTCTGCCACTCTAAGGTCACATAACATGTGTGTATGACCTTTATGATATGATGGATGAGCATATGACACGATCAAGTGTATGATTAGATGTTTACAACCCCGTGCAAGTATCTGATTAGATGTTTACAACCCTGTGTGCAATGTACTTAAATCTTTAGAAAAATGCATTATACAGGCTGGCTTGTTGCACGATGAGCCGCCATTCCATTTCCTCTAACAGTCCTTTTCTTCGTCTCTCGTTTTTCTATATTAGATCACCTTTCATCCCTCCAAGGCGCACGATATTACTTTGTTCTTTGCGGTTCAGGAGATGCTTCTGATTCGTTCTTTTCGCACCCAGCTGGGCTCTGGGGCTGCCCGCGCCTTCTTATCCACCTCCGCCGCTGCTGTCGAAGCGGAAAGGGCGATCCGTGAGGGTTACCGGAACGATTGGAGCAGGGAAGAGATAAAATCTATATACGATTCACCTATCCTTGATCTCGTCTTCCATGGTGTAAGCTCCTAGATTTCAAATATATTTTAAACTTTCCCTTTCTGGGATTTCGGTTTTTAAAAACGCATTATTTTCTGAGCCCTTGTGGTATCTTTTCTCTCGCATTTTCCGCTGAATGGCGTTTTATGAAGCGTTTTCCCTCCTTTCTGTTCCACAGCAATCGTCATTACTTGTGGATAGTTACAAACTTGTAATCCCTTTTGTGCTTGTGAATATAATTTGAATCAGCCCTTTGCTTGGGATGAAATTTTTTTCTTGAAGTCTTGTTTTTGAGTGATTGTTGGTGTATCTCAGATATTTATGCAATTTGAACGATTTATTTTCACATATATTATGTTTTCCTTACAGTTAATGCTGTCAAGTTCAGAAAACACAGGTGTAGCATTTGCATGCATGTACCTGGTTAACTGCAAAGCATTTACAACATTCTGTTCAAATGGCTTTACCTGCTCTACATGTAATTGGTTCAGGTTGCTCTGTGAGCATAGCAATATTAGTGATAGCATATGCATTCATGTGTTTTCTTTGAACAATAAAACTTTTACTAGCGCTCCAAGTGCTTTTGACTATGTTTAGATTGACAAATATTTAGGAAAGGGGAAATAATAAGATTTAAAATGGAGAAGAAGTTAATTTCTTTTGATTATTTGGTTATGAAGGAAAATTCAAATAAAAATATGATAAAAGTTTGAGGAATGTATATTATATCTTATGCGGCGAGCGTCATCCAAAAATTTTCATGCTTGCATAGACAAAAGTTTTTTTAATGAAGTTAAATTTCCTATGTTGATTTATTTTACATTGGCATTTCTTCTTATATTGTCAGATGATATAATTTATTCTGTGGAAATTGATGCTCGAGCTTATATTATAAACAAAGAGGAGTTAAAAGAGGGTAAAAACAAAGAAACTACCAAGACTTGTAAATTGAGAAGGGTATACAAGTATAAAAACAGAAGTGAGAAGCAAAAGAATATAGCATTGCAACAAAACAATAAAATCTCTATAGTGGAAAAATTAAAGTAAATGCGGGAACATGGTTAGTATGAACGAGCTCCAACCACAACAACATAGACTAAGCTCAAGTGTAAATCATTCAAGAGTAGTAAAAGAACAAATGGACCAAAATAGAAGCACTAGGTTGAGCTTGAATTGTCTTTGTTCAGAGCTTGCATAACTTGAAAGATCACCATAATTTATGAATGAGTAACCGTCAGTGTAGACTCCTAAATAGATCCAAGTACTTGGCAAAACAATGGGTCAAAAAAGCCCAAGAAAACTAAGAAATGATTCTTGAAATTAAGAGTGCAAATGAGTCAAGCTGAGCTTGAGCCACTCTTGGCTTATGCTCGAACATGATTAATTAATCGAGTTTAAGCATAATTCCGCTAGTTCGAGTTGGTTCATGAGCTTACTTGTTTATTAGTAAAGAGAAAATATTTTTTATTCTAAGTATTTTTTTAATGACAAATAATTTTGAGAGAAATAAAAAAAATCACTTAATATAAAAAATAAAATATAATTTTAAAATATATCTAGTAATTTATACTTATACTCTTAAATTTTTAATATATTTTAAGTGCATTTTATATTTATTATTTTTTAATGAGCCGACTCATGAGTTAACAAGCCGAGTCAGGGTTGTTTTAAGCTTTTCTTGTTAGCTCATCGTACTTAGCTCGTGAGCCATTTATCATTGGCATGGCTCTATTACACCCTTACTTGTAGTAGTTATCGAACTAGAGACTTTACTAACAAACAACTGATAACATAACACAAAAAAATGGAGGACCAAAAAGACATAGCAATCTAGATTAGTTGGAAAGAAAAGAAAACTAAAAACAACCTTAAAGTGTCGTGAAGATCAACATAGTTACAACATTTAGAAGCCATCCAGGCAATAAAAAACATCCTTCTAATTTTCCTAATGCGTAAAAAGAACTCTTTTAATTGCTCTTTGATACACCAAAAAAATATTCAATTTTTAATATATATTTAGAACTTATATTTGGTGATATTGCACTTTAAAGGAGGATATTTTCATGTTTTATTGCAGGTATACTAAATTTAGACATTTGGACCTTAAAGGATGCAAAAAGAACGAAATTTAGTTTCAAAAGTGCGCCTAAGCGCCAGATTCAAAGAAGACGGTGCCTAGACACCAGATTTTAGCGCCTAAGCTCTAGAGACGGTTATCTTCACAAATGCATTGAATTTGGACGGATTTTGAAAAGGTGCCTATGGAGACTCTTGAGAAATTCATCCCTAGATTCTGAAAAGTGTTTTTATGTCAGAAAAAGTGGTGTGAGCATCAAGGTGTGGGAGAGTGTGGTGTCTCTAAGAGTTGTAAGAGGAGAGCAAAAGTGAGATTTCTTCTTCCTTAAATTTCTAAGAGAGATTTGAGTGTTATTGTAAAGAGAGAAAGAGATTCAAAGGAATTTCCAGGAATTTGCTTGGGGAAGAGATCAAATTAAGTTGTTTTACTTTTCTTTCTTATTTTGTAAACATTTATATATAAAATACATGTTTTGTTGTATCTTTCTCATAAATTCTGAGTAGATTTCTTTGTTCTTCTCCCTACAAACAGAAATGGTCATGTGAAGAATCAAGATTGTTGTGCAATATATTAATTTCATATTTGTGATGATTCAAACTTCAAATTTTCTTTACTTTTTGATCTAGTAAATTGAATTGTTAAAATTTGTTGTGAAACATACGATCCGAGAGGGCTATGTTTTTTACAACGAAGTAAGAATTACATTCGATTTCATGGATGAGAATGTAGTCCATGAGGTTGAGAGCAAATGAATAGGGAGATATTCTTTGATGGGCGTAGAATTGAAGATTTTAGAGTGACAGACTAAAATCTCCAATTCGGTCCAGACGTTTGGAAACTAAAGCGAGATATTAGCTCTCAGATACACCAAAAAAATATTCAATTTTTTATATATATTTAAGGCATATATTTGGTGTATTGCACTTTAAAGGAAGTTATTTTCATGTTTTATTGCAGGTATACTAAGTATAAGCATTTGAAGTTTAAAAGATGCAAAAGGACGAAATTTAGAGTTAAAAGTGATGTTTTCAAAAAATTGAATTGGCCCTTAGGCGCAAGAAATGGCGCCTTTAGCGCCAGAATACAGATAAGATCGTGCCAAGGCGCCAGAATATAGAGATGATCGCGCCAAGGCGCTAGATTTCGGCGCCAAGGCGTCAGAGACGATTATTTTCACAAATGCATTGAAATTGGACGAATTTTAAAGAGGTACCTATGTAGACTATTTGGAAAGTCGTCCTAACATTATAAAAGAGTGCTTTTATGTCAGAAAAAGTGGTATGAGTGAAGGAGGGAGAGAGAGAGAGAGAGTTCAAGGGCGTGGTAAGTGTCTCTAAGAGTTGTAAGAGGAGAGAAAAATTGAGAGATTTCTTCTCCTTACATTTTTAAGAGAGATTTGAGTGTTATTGTAAAGAGATAAATATATTTAAAGGAACTTCAAGGCATTTTCTTGGGGAAGAGATCGAGTTAAGTTGTTTTACTTTTCTTTCTTGTTTTGTAAATATGTTTTTATATATAAAATCCATGTTTTGTTGCATCTTCCTTCCTCCTGAATTCTGAGTAGATTTCTTTGTCCTTCTCCCTATAAAGAGAAATGGTTACGTGAAGAATCAATATTGTTGTGCAATATTTTAATTTCATATTTATGATTATTCAAACTTCGAACTTCATTTACTTTTCGATTTGACCAGTTGAATTGTTAAAATTGTAGTGAAACATACTATCAGAGGAGACTATGCTTTCTACAACAAAGTAAGAATCACATTCGATTTCATGGATGAGAATATAGTTCATGGGGTTGAGTGCAAATAAATAGGAAAATATTCATTGATGGACGTAGAATTGAAGATTTTATGGTGATAGACTAAAATCCCCAATTCAGTCCAGATGTTTGAAAACTAAAGTAAGATGTTAGTCCTCAGGCGAGGGGAATGTGAGAACTCTGGAGTGAGAACCAGTGTCTTCCTAGCCTAACCGCAGATTTAGGGACTAAACACTGGATTAGCCAATGTTCTTTGTCGCTCGTAAAAAAGCAAAAAAAAAGAATATAATTGCTCTTATTTTACAGAATATAATTTTTTTCAATTTGATAATTCACTGACTATAATTTCGTTGTAAGGGGGATGATGCTTTATTAAATTTGAACTCTTTATCACAAAACCTAATTTAGCTTTTAGTAAATTTAACTTTGAAATTTAGAGATTAATGTAGTAAACGTAGCTTCTTCAGTGGCATTAAACAAATTTCGATCTATTTTCTTACTTAAATTCTCTATAGTACAAATATTGTGCTTTTGTGTGATTTCTCTAACAAATTTTCACCTTCCTATGGGATCAATACTTAAGACTCCATTAAAGCCCTTTATCACTTGAACGATACATATACTTGCGTTTGCAATCTAGTGACGATTTGAAATTTAAAATACATCTTAATTCACTAGGTGTGACAACTTTAGATATTTTAAAGGAGAAAACTTATTATGGTAAAGTAAATTTTATTGTGATTAATCTGCATATTTTTAATTATAGTTACCTTGTGTGTTGTGGTGTTGAAAAGCATTTATAACGCAAAAAAAAGTTCCACATCACTCATCTTCTATCTCACGAGCCATTTAATACAAACTCATAGAAATTTTGCTATGAAAATTAATGTTATAAACTTTGTTAGTCTTTTCTTTCTAGGTGCACCACTAACTATTTGTTAGACCGATGCGTACGGCGTTGTCCTCCTTGTGCTCCACTTAGTTGACGTTAAGCTTGCCAAATAATTTTAAGACCTATGTTAGATGCAAGTCTAAAATGACAATTTAGTCATTTGTTAGTTATTATTGTGGCAGTATAACTAAGGCTTAATATGTTTAGGGTTATGTCATGTATGATTGTTACCTTGAATCTTAGGCTTAGGGTTTGGGAGAGAATCGCCTAACCCTCGAATTGTAGGTTTATCTTTTATTTATTGTAGATTGTATCATTTTGATTTGTTACCAGTAGAATAAAATTTATTATTTTTGCCCTTGTTTTTACGAAAATTCATTTAGTTATAATCAAATTGGTATCGGAGCATTCAAGGCTGCTACTTCGCTAGAATTATTTCTCGTTTGCATTTGAGGCCACTGCTTTGCCTCATATCATTTTAAAATCGTCAAGGTGCCCTCCCCGTCTAAGTGACTGTCCTGCCTTTGTCGCACGACATCTCCTTCATTGCCGAAACTTGTGATATAATCTCAATTTGAGCTAGTTGAGAAGTCGACAACAAGATCATGGTGTCGCCTTCATGATCAAACCTCATGATACAATTACGATTTGAGCTAGTTGGGAAGCCAACAATGGATCATGACATACATAAGTTTCTTCTTCATGATAAAAAATAGTCCTAAGACTAATTGTGGCCAAGAAAGTAGATGTTTTGAAAGAAAAATTAGAGAGAGAAGTGGGCCAATTAGATCAAGAATAAATGAGCGTTTCTCATTCATGAAGGGTTGGTTCTCATCTATGGCGGGATGATTCACTACCCTGGAAGAAATTACAAAGAAAATTACAACATTTCACTTGTCATGATTTGGCTTGATAACTTAGAATTAACTGAGTTAGGAACTGTGGTAAGATGGTATTAACATGTCATTTTCTTTCCATATATTTTTTTCAGAAACTTTCAGTATATAAAAAAAATCACAAATAATCCACAAATACCTATAAAAAAATTTAAATTATCCAACAGTAACAAAAATATGTGCAAGTAAAACTTTTAAATTCACACAACAATATATCACAATCCAAAAGAATATATCACCAAAAAACTACAAACACATCATAACATGATATCTATCTGTTGTAGTCCTCATCCTATAAACTAAATCTCTCTTGTCAGCTATATATCAACATATAATTTTTCTTTTCCTTAAGGAACTTATAAATTTTAACACTGAGTTGACTTAGTGAACAATTATAGTTTTAATATGTATTAAATTATTTTTCTAAGGATATGCATGAATGATTAAAATAAATGTAGTTCATTATTTTATAAAATTGTGAACTTTCATTTTAATTTATATCTTTTCCCGTTTCAATTTAAGTATTTACTCTTTTTAACCTCTTTAAGAGTTATATCAGTATTACAGTCATGCCAGAATGTACTGGGTTCAACAGGGACTTACAATATCTTAAGGGTTTGTACTTCTGGGCAACTATTGGCTAGAGTAAGGATAATTCATGGAGTCATGTGAAACTAAATGGAAGATTGCCCTAACATATTTTTGACGCGGATGCTTGGCTGAACCGGCCACCCTGTACAACAAAGGTTTGGGTCCTATAAGGTGCTGGACCAGCCGACTATCCCAAGGAGGCAGGTATATCGCCTCTTCCCCCTTGAACCCCACCCCCCCCACCCCCCCTTCCTATTTGCTTCCCTTCTTTTCTAGTCCCTTTCTATCCTAGTCCTTTCCTCTTCTATTTCCTTTCCAATTCCATTTCTTTTCTATTTGATCCACTATTATCTATCATATATATGCTGTGTGTTTGCTTGGGGAGGAGTTTTTGGATTCTCTGATTTCAGTCTGATGCCTCTAAGACGTTTCTCTCTTCCTAGGGCTGTTTTCGACGATAAGAAGGCTCTGGCTGGAACTCGTCCGAGGTAGTGATTATCCTCGCTGTTTTCCATCTCCCTTATGCTACTAGCTCCATATTCCCTCCACTTGCTCGCTGCAATCTCTCTGACTCCTCAACCTTTCTATTTCTCTCCGCCGCACACGCCTCTAGCTCCGTTCACACCATTGCCCAGGCCTCCCGACCCTTACTTGCTGCCGCCAAGGGCCTCCAACCACCACACCAGCCTCTCGACACCCCTTATTGCTGATCAGACCTCCAGCAACCTTTCAGCAGCTGTACAAGCCCATCTAGCCCTCTTCCCGCCACCGCATAGGCCTCCCGACCATTCTCTACTGCCGTCTAGGGCCTCCAGCCAAAGCACAGGCGTCCAGGCCTTTGTCTGCTGCTGACTAACCTCTGGCCACCTTTCAGCAGACTACTGGCCTTTCCGACCTTCTTCCTGCTGCCATCCAGCCCTCCAACCATCATCCAACCAACCACCGCAAATCCGAATCCCACCTTTCCTGCTGTTACCGCCATTCCTCCTCCCTTCCCCCTTTACTACAACCCACTCAAGGGTGTCTTTTTCTTGTTTGTGTTGGTTTGTTGTTTATGTCCTATATTGGCGAGCCGCCGTTGCAACTTTTTGGATTTCAACAATATTATTATATGTTTATTGTGGTTTGTGTTAACTCCGGTATCAGTTTTCCCATTTAATGATTAATAGACTGAATTGTTTCATATATTGATTTTAATAGTTAGCCATTTAGAACTACAATTTTTTCTTTGTTATCATAAAGTGGACAAGGAATCCTTAGCATTGCAAATTTGGTTTCATTATTAGCATAGTAAGGTTCAAGTCCCTGTGTGTTTCTTTTCTATTTATCTGCAGTCTTTAATAATTGTTTGTCTTCCATTTTTTGCTCTGAATTCTATAAAATAGAAACACAGAAAATCACTGATGCTTGATGTGAAGTGTCACGGTTTAATGGCTTCTGACAGGCTCAAGTCCATAGGCATGTTCACAAGTTTAGAGAAGTTCAACAGTGCACGCTTCTTTCTATTAAAACAGGTGGGTGTAGTGAAGATTGCTCCTACTGCCCACAGTCCTCAAGGTATGATACTGGACTAAAAGCCCAGAGGCTAATGAATAAAGATGCTGTACTGGAGTCAGCAAAGAAGGTATAGTGTGAAATATAGTCTTTTCTTATTCTTTAATTTAACTATTCTTCATGCTTTTGCATTTTTATTGATTATAAAATTAATTTGATGGGTTTAGTTTTGTTGACACATCTCTTAGAAAGAGGATGACTTTCAAGCTAATAGTTTCTATGTCTATAGTCCTTGATGCATGAGATTGGTGAAAGCATTTCCTGTTGTTTGTTTTTGCATTCCATGTACTAAAACAAGAATGCGATCATCATCATCCACATTGTCTAACGCCTTACCCGATCATTTTGGTTTGGCTTTATGAATACTTCCCCATCATTTCCATTGATTGCTACATGAGATTTTAAATTTTGTTTGCATTTTTAAACATACTGTCCTATCAACTTGCCTTTATTGACGTATTGGTTGTCGAAATCTTTTATCATTTTTTTCTACAATTTTATTTTTGATAGATGATAATCCCATTATCACCCTTATATGATTATTCATATTATTTTTTTAGTTTTGCTAAACATCTATCGTAATTTTTCATTTTGTCATAGTTAATTTGGTTGTTGATGACTTCTAAAAACTTGTGGATATATTGCATGGATGCTCCAATTTTAGCTATATATAAACTAAATTTTAAATATCCATCATATTGTCCTATCTCACAGTACTCTTGAGAAATTTCTTTATTTGAACAACCCAATTTTATCCATACATATTTTACCCACATCTATGCTCCTAATCTTATGTATCATACTTTGAATATAATTAAACCTATCACAGTTAGATCTTTCCAAATATTGTCCCATTATAGTTATAACAATTACTACAACATCCACCTAATTGCCTGCATAAACTTAGTATGTCATCATTGTCTCATGCTTTTTAATTAATTTTTTTTTTAAGCAAAATCCCAAAATAGACCCCCGACTATTAAGAAGTGTTCAATTTAGTTCCAGAGTTTTAGAATGCTCCTATTTAGTCACAAATTATTAAAAGTTGCTCTAAGTTGATATTAAATAATATTTTTTGTTAAATTTCACGATGACCTGCATGAATTGAAGGGTATTTTGTCTTTTATATTATTATTTGAAATTGATGTGGTTTGTATATAAAATTCTTTTTTATTTATTATTGGAAAATTATAATTTTTAATTTGCATTGATTAATCTTTTCACAAAACTTATGCTTTTTTTTTTCAAATGAAATTTTTTGTTGGATCATCATTTGAACACACAACCTTATGTTACAAATAAAACATACATACATAGATATATATATATATATAGATATATGTATAGATATATGTACATATATGTATACATATATGTATCCATATATGTACATATACATATAATATATGTACATATGTACATATATATACATATATGTACATATACGTGCAGAGACGGGCCGCATGCCTTGTCCAGTGGGTAGGCAGGGTCACTGTAAATCCCCTCTGGCAAGGGTTCGATCCCTACTGTGGTGCATGGGGGGTCGAATTATAGGCACATGACGTAGGCTCTCATCATGGGGCCGGATTGCGCATGAGAAATCGATATTTGGGCCTCTGCCAAATATCGATTTCCTTAAAAAAAAAAAATACCCCACTTCATACCTGTTCCTTTTCCGCTCCTGAGTGCATTCCATGAGTTCATTCCACAGACTATTGAAACACTGGTTGACACGATGCCACCTCTTCCGCTCCTGAGTGCATTCCACGATGGCACAATATTTACACGACACTCAGCAATTTGTTAGCTGGCTCCGCTCCTAGAACCAGAGGCAGAGGCAGGACCAAGCTGGCTCGTCTCTAGCAAATTATTTTCTGCGAGTTTTGAATTTAGAGTTTTATCAATGTTTTATACTTTTTAGGATGCTAGTATCTGTGTATCGTTTGGATAGGGCGCCTTTATTGGGTCCTCTCATACAATCTTTATATACCTTTTCAATTTCAATAAAATTAGCTCTTGGGCATTAAAAAAAATAAAAATTAAAAATAATTATATACATATATATATATATATATATATGTATACTGAAAAATTTTTGTATAAAAATACAAGTACTTTGCTATCAATCATATAATTTTATCATTCACATATATAATATTTTAAACATCAAATAAATTCATACATATATATAGATATGCGCACACACACACGAAGAGACAGATAGACATGTACATATATGTATAAATACATATGCACATAGGTATATATAGATATGTACATATACATACATATATGTATGTATATATGCATAGTTAGTAATTCTTTTCTTTTTTTTTTTTCTTGAAACTCTATCATTTTCTTGCTGTCTTGTTCGTCAGGTGAGACTTTTTTTTCTCCAGTATTAATAGAATAACATGATCGAAGTCTTTTAGTAGTACTGTAGATAAATTATCCTGAGCTGTACTTTTGCTTCTCGTACTACCATATCATCTTATAAGGTCAATGACATGCACCTATAAGTCTAGAGTTTCATAGCTTAATATTCCACCTTTTATAATAATTGTAAAAGAAGATTGATTTTTATTTCATTATTCCAGTCTTGATGTATAATTTCAGGCCAAGGAGGCTGGAAGCACCCGTTTCTGCATGGGAGCTGCTTGGAGAGATACAGTTGGCAGGAAAACTAATTTCAACCAGATTCTGGATTATGTTAAAGAAATAAGGCATGCGTTAAATTTTATAAAGTATCAATAGCTTTTGTTGCGAGCTGCCCAGTTGGGCTAAGAAGTTCACCTTTTTCGGCATCATTTCCTTACTACTGAACCTGATTATTTCATTTGTCTTATCCTTTCCTTGTCCTTGATGATATGATTGATCATCTATGCTATCCGAAAATTGTTAAAATCATTTCTGTAATTCATGTGTTGCATTTTGATAATCTCGACCTTTGCTACATAATCTGATTGCAGAATAGGACTATTCCCGGACAATTTTATTTCAGCAAGCCACGTATGCTAGCTGGTTGTTTCTAAACTATATGTTAAGAGCTTTAGAAGGATCTTAAACAGCAATTCAATGGACTTTTAATGACGAGCTACTAATGTATCCATGACCTAGAGGATTTTCAGAACTTTATTTTTTGTAAATGCCACATAGGGCTGTGAATGAGCTGAGCTTGAACAAGCTCAGCGCTTGTTCGTTTTTGTAATAACTGAATAATAATAATAATAATAATAATAATAGTTATAGTAATAATACAAAAAAGAAAATTTTAATTTTTAGGTTTATTTCAAGGAAACAATTATCTCAACGGTTTTGTTTAAGGAGATGAGTGCTCTGATATCGGAGGAGGCCCAAACCACAAAAGAAACACGATATTGTTGCTAAATTGAAAGAGATTACAAGCACGATATTTGGAAAGTAGGAAATACCGAAAAACAAACACAAACAAGTAAACAATAAAAGATATTTGCGGGAGACGATGATGATGGAGAATGTGAGGAGTTGGTATGAGAGGGCTTCGGTGGTAATAATAGCAAGAGAGGGCTGCGATTTTTGTAGGAGTGCTGGACAACTGCGGAGAAGAGCAGGAGAGTTGCGATGGGTGGAAGGAGTGCTGGACAACTACTGTGAAGAGCAGGCTGTCTACGGTGTTTGGAGGAGTGCTGGACAGCTGCAGAGGAAGAGTAGGAGGTGCTGCGGGGGAAGAGCAGGAGGTGCTGCGGTGGTTGGATGGGCAGGCCTGCGAGTGGCAGCGGGAAAGAAGTGATTGTGGATGGAATGGTGGAACAACTGCAGAAAAATGGACGTACGATAAGATAAATGCCTCCTCGGGACTGAGCTACAGCCGGAGCACCTCCTAGGACGAGGGATAGCCGAAACACTTCCTCATCTTCGGATACAACCCTTGAAGGAGAAAACAGGATGCCGGTGGTTGTCCAAACAGAACGCTAAATTTTTAAGTAACAATAATCCTTTCCTTATGCAAAACAACCTCTATATATAAAAGGATTAACACTTATATTAGGCGATGCTTTTAGTTAATAAATAGAATATAATAGACAATGATTTATAGTAGGCACTATTTTAAAATTAGGAAGAGAATAAAAATAATAAGAATTCATAATTTAGACAATGTTTATAATAGGAAGAATTCAGAATAGGCAAAAATTAAGAAAATAATAGAAATTCAGAATTGGCAAGTGCTAGGAAGGAAAGATGGAAGAAGGAAAAGGGGAATATGAGGAAAAGAAAAGAGTGAAAGGAAACAGGGGAAAGGGGGGCGACACCCCTCCCCACTTGAGGACTGGTTGATTTGTCTCCAAAACCCCGCATCAGTCTCCCGGGGTTGGGGAGCTTCCGCCTCATTTGTTTAAGCTTCCATATCCACAACTACGATGTCAGATCTGCGACATTGAACATGGTTGAAATGTTACAATCTGCTGGTAGGTCAATCTTGTAGGCATTGTCGTTCCAGAAAACATTTTGGTAGAATAGGTATTCGTCCACCTTTTGCAGGCCCTGAGCTGGAATTGTAGGTAGACAAGTATTCTTAACACTTAGGTATCGAGCTATTCCAGGGTATCCTGCATCTTCCATTACTCGCAATCGGCTAAGTGCAGATGAGGAACTGGTATGGGAGGAGAAATCAATGCTGTGGTGAAATTTGTGGCAGGTTGCACTGCACTCGCTGGCACCTCCTCAGGATAGACCTCTACTTTATTGATAGGACTCGGATCTCATTGAAGAATTTTTGTCCCCATCAAGGTCCTAGGGCCCATTATAAAGTTGGTATTCACCTCTTTTGTCAAGACATCTGGCGATGGGTACAATGCTGGACTGAAAATAACCTCTGAGTAATTCCCCGTATTATTTCCGACATAGCATAAAATGACACCACCTCTGGCATGTTGGACCACCCTCCATAAGGATAATTCAGGAAGGGAAGGGGTCTATACATTTGAAAAACCTGCAATGCTCTGGTTTGTGGTGGTCCTGGATTGTTGGTCGGCTCCTCAAACTCATGCCCTTTTTGGATATCCCAAGTTAGTCCTGCTGATGTTCCTGTCATCATTTGTGAAACAGTAGCTCAAGGTACCACCACTTCATCCTTTTCATTAATGCCTATTATATCAAGGTCACTACCTTTCTGAACGACTACTATTGCCTCAACTGGAATCTCTATATCGAGATCAACTGGAATTGATTACGGATTTTCCTTATTGGCGGACAATTTTGGATCTTTTATGAAGCCTGCATCTCTTTCTGGATCGCTTTTTATCTATTCAAGTAGAAGCTGATTCTCGTTTATGTCCTCACCGACTTCAATGCCTGTGGTGTCGTTGCTCAACTTTTCGATGATGCCCAGCTCGGTTAAGTAGATCACTCCCCTGGTTATGCATTCTGCTTCAACATGTCGCAAGCCATGACACTTGTAACATTTTTTGGTTGTGACAGTTTTGCAAATTGGTTTTGCTGGATGGTAGCAAGGGGTTGCTAGGTGATGCGGTCTCTCCACGCGGAAGATAGAGTTTGTGACTTTTGACGGTATTAAGTTAGTAGAAACTGACGTCGTGTTTTCTTCTTCATCTTTATATCTTCTTGTTCCCTCAGAATTTTCAGATCATGGTTGAGGGTAGTCTTCCATTGGATTTCATCTTCTATGTTTGTTATCCACCGCAGAAGTTGACGGATCTGTCGTTGTATCTCCTCTTCTTGGGGAGGCTCAGGCATGTATCTTAATGGTGGCATAATTAGGGTTTAGGAATAGGAAGGAAAAATTTTTAGTGGAGGGGATATAGACTTTGGAACATTTGGCAGTGGAACGTGTATTGGGTGGTAGGAATGAAATTTATGGGTTATGGTGGATTAGGGTTGGCTTAGCTTTGATACCAAATGATATCAGAGGAGGAAGCTCAAACCACAAAAGAAACACAATATTATTGCTGAACTGAAAGAGATTACGAACACGACACTTGGATAGCAAAAAATACCAAAAAAAAAACACAAACAACATAAAAAATAAAAGATTTCCACGGGAGACGACGAGGACGGAGGCTGCAGGGCGGTGGTATGAGAGGACTGTGGTGACAACAACAAAAAGAGAGGGCTGCGATGGTTAGAGGAGTGCTGGACAGGTGCGGGGAAATTTTGGAGGGTTGCTATTGGTGGGAGGAGTGTTGGACATATACGGGGGAAGAGCAAGCGGTCTGCATTGGTTGGAGGAGTGCTGGAGAGCTGGAAGAGCAGCAGGGGCTGTGGTGGCTAGATGAGGGTAAGTCGGTGATTGGAAGCAAGAAGGAAGGAGCGTCTGTGGTTGAAATGGTGGGAAGTGTGCTGGACAGATGCGGGGGAAGAGCAGGCGGTCAACGTAGTTGGAGTGCTGGAAAGCTGCGGGGGAAGAGCAGGAGGGGCTACGGTGGCTGGATGAGGGTAGGTTTGTGATTAACAGCGGGAAGGAGTGACTGTGGTTGGAATGATGGAACAGTTGTAGGAAGACGTACGTACGATAAGATAAATGCCTCATCGAGGTCGAGCTACAGCCGGAGTATCACTCGGTTTCTTGGAGACGATCACCACCTTGGACGATGGACAGCCAAAGCACTTCCTTGCCTTTGGATACAATCCTTGAATGGGAAAGCAGGACACCGACGACTGTCCAAACAAAATGCTGAATTCTTAAGCAACAAGAGACCTCCTACCCTAAACAAAACAACCTCTATATATATAAGAGAAATTATGACTTATTTTAGGCAATGCATTTAATTAAGAAATAGAATACAATAGACAAGGATTTATAATGGAAAATATTTTAAAATAAGGAAGAGAATAAAAGTAATGAGACTTTATAATTTAGACAATATTTATAATAAGAAGAATTCAGAATAGGCAAAAATTAATAAAAATAATAGAAATTCAGAATTGACAAGTGCTAGAAAGAAAAGATAGGAAAAGAAAAGTGGGACTAGGAGGAAAGGAAAGGAGGGAAAGGAAGAAGGGGAAAGCGGGGTGACAACCCTGCCCCTCTTGAGGACCGGTCGGTTCCTCTCCAAAGCCCCGCGTCAGTCTCTTTCAAGCCGAATGAAACAGAGAAGAGACATAGAACGAGAGTGGGAGATAGAGCGTGGCAGTGTGAAAAGTAAGAGTGGAATCACACGCTTCTCAAATTGAAGTTTCGACGTCATGCAAAGGAAAAACTGATTGGTGTTGAGGAAGACAGGAACCCTACTGTGCAGTTGGGAATAGAGACGGGCTTTGTTGTGTTTAGAAAGGCGTCGAAGCTGAAGGTAGAAGCATAGTGCTTGTTTTGTACAGGGCAGAGCAAGAGAGAGAGGCTGCTTTCATGCCCTGGTGCGAAGTAGAAGCGAAGGTCTAGTTGAATTGAGTGGCTCTGCATGAGGGTGAAAAGCTGAACTCTGCGAAGGAAGAACTGGAGACGAGCCTCATGTGAGAAGGACGGTGAAACTTTTGAGGAGGTAAGGGTTTTGGGTTTTGGGTTTTATGTTTTAAGTATATAAAGTATTGGTTTATTTAAGTAAATGTTGTTAAATTGATTTTAGGTTTTATCAATTAAAATTAGTGACTATAAATTGACAAGCAATGAAATGATTGAGAGTGACTGAGATCGGCATCTGTGCAACAGAGAAGGAGATTAAGGGTCCATTTGGGGCAACTAAAGTTGTTTGAAGGAACAACTGAGAAGTTGCTGTGCAAGAAATTAGTTTTTAAAAGCTGTGGTGACTATTACAAATTTATTTTATTTTTAAAAAGCCAGACTGCATCTTTCTGACTGCCACCATGTATTAACAACTAAGGTTGAAAAACAGCTTCTTGCACTGAAATTTTTATAAAGCAGCAAGAAAACAGTTCTCCAAACAGAAATGTGGTGGTGGTCTGAAAAACAAAGCCATCAAAAAATTGTCCCAAACAGTCCGTACGTCAGGTAAGTTTATAAGTAAAAATTTCAATTTTAGGATTTTACCTAAAACTGAATACATGGAATGTGATTTTAGTAGTAGTAGTCATAGTGACAAAAGTGTAACTTTTGGTGATCAAACTATTAAAAGGTGTGAACGATTTATATATCTTAGGTCTGTTATTCAAAGCGATGGTGATATAAATGTGGATGTTAATAGTAGAATTCAAGTTGGTTGGTTGAAGTGGAGGAATGCTTCAGGCCTTTTGTGTGAGGGAAAAGTACCACTTAGACTAGAAGGAAAATTTTATAAGATGGTCATGAGTCCTGCTATGCTTTATGGCGTTGAATGTTAACTTTTAAAAGAGAAGCGTAATACTAAATTAAGTGTTGCCGAGATGAGAATGATTAGGTGGATGAGTGACTTTACTAATAGAGACAAAATGTGAAATGAATATATCCGTGATAGGGTTGGTGTAGCTCCAGCGAAGAAAAAAAATTAGAGAGAGTCGTCTTAAATGGTTTGGTCACATTAAATGTCTCCATCTGAGAATCTGATTAGGAGAGTAGATGTTTTAGATTCGACTTATGTTAAGAAAGGCAGAGGGAGACCTAGAAAGACATAGGCTTATTGTATAAAAAATGATCTTAATTTATTAAAACTAAATGAATATATGACAGTAAATAGGACGCGATGGATAAAAAGGATTCATGTAGTCGACCCCACGTAGTGGGATTGAGGCTTTGTTCTTGTTGTATTTGAAAGCATTAAGTCTTGTTTTATGAACTAATTTCAGAAATTGAAGATCTTGATTAGTGTAGAACAACATATTAGAAGATGTAACCATGGAAGCAGCAAATAAGAAGTTTATTTGAAATATTATGTTAAATAATTAAATTTATAAAATGTTTTATGAAAATTTTATTTAAAACTTATCAATTTATGATATAGAGCACCTTTAGTCTTTTTTAGACATAAAAGCATGATATAACAAATTAGATATGAAGAAACTTGATTATTGATATAATATTATCATTTACATTTATATACATTCAATACAAAAGCAATTAAAAGTTCTGGGTGACGAGAATCATCAAATAGGCAAGGTGAATAATTACTGTTTTATCTGTACTAAATTTTGCTCTTTTATTTTCAAAATGTTTGGTAAGCTCTCTTATAATCAAAAGAAAATAAATGAAAATGACATGTCTGTTTTACAATTACAATTCTTTTATCTTTTGTATTGCATTAAATGAAAAGTAATTGTACTTAATGATTGAAAGAAATTAATTCTAAATTAAATAAAAAATAAATAATTAAGCTTATAAAGAGTCACCCCCTTATGGTACTAGTGTGTAATATTATTGTAGTTGTGTACGTTAAATGAAAAAGAAAATGAAATGAAAATATTTGTGCCTTATGATATAAAATAGAAAAAGGTTGTACCTTTATGATGCAAAAATGTAAAATATTTTATTGGTGCTCTCGAGATGACTTCTAAATGGAAATTGAAATGAAAAAGAAAATTATAAAAGAATGGAAAATGTAATTGATTTAAGATAATTTATTAAAGAATTTTATAAAATGAAAAATATAAAACTTGCTATAAAAACTTGATCAACATATTTCTTTGAGTATTCATATTGACATTTGCATATTTTTTTATAACCCCGTAGGAAATTTTATTTCACAAAAATAAAATTACAACAAAAGGAAAGGGAGACCTACTACACCCCCCATACAACTCACACAAAAAAAGAAACAAAAACCTAAGGTTCCTCTCTCAGAAAAAAAGAAAGAAACAACTCACCCCACCTATGAACCCCCCCCCCCCCACAAAAAACACCTCAAAAA